TACACAAGCTTCCCTCCGGGATTTCGGGGCTGAACTCCCCGCGTGAACTCTCTTGGATCACCCCTGCTCTTCTCCCAGCCCCAGGTACTGTTCCCCTGATTACTTCCTGGCACCACTCTTGGCTGCCAGACCGCCCTCTTTTCTTCCTAGAGTACCCCCTATCCCGGAGCGCATCCCCCAGCTTCCTAACCCCTCGGGCTTAGGGTCACGACCTCCCTCCTCCCCTTGAGGTGCCCAGAGGCTTCCGGAGGAACCTCGTCCCAGGAGTGCACACGCGGGCAGTAGTGCCCAGATAGGGTGCCAGCCGGTTGCCAGCACGCCCAGGAAGGGGCTGCGACTCCTGGGAAAGCGCCTTCCTCCTGCTCCCCACTCTATGCATCCCAAGCTCAGAGACAGCCCTGCCCGAAAGCCCTGGGGAGCACCCAGAAGCCCCGGCCAGCACAGAGCAGTGCAAACTGGTCCAGGAGGTCGGGCGAAGGAGATTAGCCCCGGGGACCCAGAGGAGAGGGCCGCGCTCGTCCAGGCGCGTAGCTCGCGGACGCGCGGAGCGGAGCGGGCGGCGCCGGGAAGGGAGTGAGGGAAGGGCGAAGAGGAGGAGGAGGGTGGGAAAGGACCGGGGCGACGGGAGGTTCCCCTCCGCTCTTTACCTGGCATTGGTGCAGTCATTGTAGAGGGTCTCGAAGTCCTTCCTGGAGATGAGTTTGCAGCGGTTCACTCCGGGCTGGATGGCCCCCAGTCCCCTCAGGATGCGAACCTGTTCCACATTGCACACCACCGGCGTGATCTCCAGCCGCTTCAGCTTGGTGTAGACGGTGTGCAAGCCCCCCACCAAGTGCTTCAGAAACAGGTCGAAAGCCTGGGGCAAGCAGATCAGCTCGCAGCCCTCCACCGTGAAGGAAGCCACTTTGGCCCCCCTCAGATCCACCATTTTGCACTCATTATTCTGGGGGGTGTTTTCCACTGGGGACGGGGTTGAGTACACAGGTTTCCCGGGGAGGGGGCCGCAGCTGCTGCTGCTACTGCTGCTGCTGCTGCTACTGCTGCTGCTGCTACTGCTGCTGCTGCTACTGCTGCTGCTGCTGCTGCTGCTGCTGCCGCCGCCGGTGCTCGCGGTGATGGGGGTGCTGGAGGCGCCGCCGCCGCCAGCGCTAATGCCGCCGCCGCCGCCGCTCCCGGCCGCCAGGCTGGGGTTGCAGTTGCTCCCGCCGCCGCCGCCGCCGCCTCCGTTGCCGCCGCTGCCACCGCCGCCTCCGCTGCCGCCGCCGCCGCCACCAGGAGAGGTGACTGTGGCCGCCACCGAAGAAGAAGCAGAAGAGGAGATGGGCTCCGGCCGGAACAGAGTTGGCCCAGAGGACGCCGGGGGTCCGATGGACGGAGCCGGAGACGAGGTCGCCGAGGAGGTGGAGGTGGTGGTGCCGGAGGAGGAAGCAGACGTGGAGATCGGGGGTTGAGGGGGGACCAGCTGGGTCGGAGGGATCAAAGCCGCCGGCACTGCCATGGTCACATATAAGGGGAAACAGAAGGAGGAGAAGCGAGGGGGAAAAGTTGCCACACACCCCCCAGAGGGGAAGGGGGAGAAAGAGGGACAAGGATCGAGGTGGGGGGGTGGGGGGGCAGCGACCACAACCACTAGAGGAAGGAACCCGGGCGGGAGAGGAGAGAAGAGAGAGGGGAGAAGGGGAGAAAAAACGAGGTGAGGGTAAGAAAAGAGCGAGCGCAGGAGGGGCGAGCGCGAGAGGCGCTCGAGAGAGAAACGCACAAAAGTGTCCCGCAAGTCGAAATGCGAGTCCTCTCCCGGGGCTGGGATCGCGGGCTGCTCTGGAGGGGGGGTGGGGGGGGGGACGGGGAGGGTCGGCTGGTGGTACGTGGGTCCCGCTCTAGCACAAAGTTAAGGATGAAGGTGAAAAGGAGGAGGGTTGAGGGACTTGGGTTCTCCCTGGCAAGTACATTGATCAAAGATTGAGAGGGGAATGACAGAGAGAAAATGAGCTGAAAGTGCAGGCTGCCGGCTGGACGAGTTGTTGTTGTCACACGGTGCAGAGGGGAGGAGCTCCGGATACTTGAAATACCCTTTGAAGCCGCGAAAACCTCACTCACTAGTATTAACCCAAATTATCCAACCAGGAACTCGGAGCACAAGACTCCGAGAGCGCGAGACGGAGGAGGGGAGGGGGGTAGGAAAGGAGGGAGGGTACAGGGAGAAAGAGTGGGAGGAAAGCCCTAGAAAAGCAAGGGCTCAAGAGTGGTGCTCCGAGAGAGAGAGGGAGGGAGAGAGAGAGAGAGAGAGAGAGAGAGAGAGAGAGAGAGAGAGAGAGAGAGAGAGAGAGATCTACTTCTCTCGCATTGCTACCGTTACATCGCCAGCCTTCTACTCTTTGGCTTCCAGGAAGATTCCTAGCTTTCCCCCCCACACCCCAAGAAAGGTTCTGAGCAATCGCCTGCCAACTGAAAGAGCCCCGGCTCAGCTGCCAGCTCACCTTCAGGGATTTGGGATAAAACAACCACCACCCCCCACCCCGCCCTCGTGCGCGTTTGTGCAATGAGTTACAAAAGGAAACACATCTCCAGCTCATGACTGTGGAGCAATTATTATTTGAGGAAAAAATCACATGTAAGCAAAGTGTACTATCTTATGTATCTGATGCTTTTTCCTATATTAAAAATATTTATATAAAGATAGAGAGATTTCAGGATAGTTTTCAAGTTGCGAGGGGAAAAGTCGCTTAAGAATAATGGGATGCTCCTGATAGAATTCCTTATTTCCTAGTAGACTTGGAGATACATTCTTGTCATGAGATAGGTTAGGTGGCTTAAAACAACTTCCCTTTCCCCCCCCCCCCCAAGACAAGTCAGACAAGTCTATTATACCTAGAAATTTCAAAGAGATCAGGCGTCCTTGAGGATTAGAAAGTGAAATACAAAAACACGCTGCTGTTTCTTAACCAAAACTCTAATTAATTCACCTGTATTGCACAGTAATCAACTGTTATCCTTTAGTACCCAAGGCTAGTCGCTAGCATGTTATTTAAGCAACACAATAATTATGGGGTTTCTGTCATATTTGGAAAGTACTGCTGTATTTTGGGAACGTCTTTTTGGGTTTCTCAGTGAGAATGTGTTTGTAAATAATGAGAACAGAAACTAAGCTTCCTGGCTGTCTTGTAAAGACAGAAAGGGGGGGGGGTGCTTTTGATCTGAGTGAGGGCTTGCTCTTTTCCTCCTTTCGTCTTCTCTAACTTGTTGCATGAAGGTATTTATTCGAGGATATTTGACCAGTATATGATCTGAGCATAGGTCATGTCTCTATGTTGCTTGTATCTCTAGGAATCTGGAATAGTTAGGCTTTGAACCTGGCTACACACTTTCAGAGATTTCCTAAGATGTGAAACAAGGAACTAGCATTTGGCAGATTTAAAAAAAATAAACTATTATGGCAGACTCAGAGTTTTGAAAAATTTTATGATGGGAGTTTTTGTCATTTGGGTGTTGAAATTATTATCACTTTTCTTTTTATCATTTTTAACCCATCGAAGTTTAGTGTCTTTGAAGTTTAGTGTCAAATGGTACAGGAACCCTCTAAAAAGAAATATGACACCATTGACTTACTCTTTAATACTAAACTTTGGGGGGCAAAATAGTCAAATTGGGAGGCTTTTTTAAAGTGTAAGAATTCAGAAAATTATTTCATAAAGGTTTATAAACTTCTACAAAGATAGGTGAAGTTTCCACAGCTGTTTGTTCTAGTTAACTAGTGTATTTTTACATATTGAAATATTTATTAATTTTTCATTCATCAATCCTATTCTTAACTAAAAGTAAGGATTCAATATATATCACAAATATCAAAATATATTTTAAAAGGATTACCATTCTTCAAAAAGTCAAATTACTGTATTAGTGAAATGTAACACTGCAAGAAATGTTAAACTCTAAAAGAAAAAAAAAACTAATTTTTTTGAATGTCATTCCTAACTTTAATAAACTCCAATGTGTTTTTAAAATGCGAAATTGTGTAGTGTTTCTAGTCCTAGCCCTACAGATAGAATAGGGCGATTAAATGCCCAAAGCCTGAACTTACAATTCTCATTCTTACATTTCCTCAAACTCTCATTCATCCAAAATCTGCCACACTCTAGAGCGACAAACAGGAAGCAATGATGCAGACCAAGCCATAATCCCACTCTGCTTCAGCCAACTTCAAATTTTCTGTAGAGAAACGTGTGCTCGGAGCACGTGCTTCACGTAGAAGTGAGGCTTGGGAACATATTCCTCTATCTAGATGGTACTCCTCCCCTCCCCCCACTCCAGGTTCTTAAACCTTTTCAAGGAGCCACCACTTGCTCCTTAGATCAAACAATAGGCTTAGAGGAGTCAAATGTTGCAAAATAAAATATACCGGAAAGAAAGCCCCGGAAAAAAAAAAAAAAGCATGTTCTTTTCATCTTTTTCTTTCCTACTTTTGGAGATATTCTTTCCTGTGATGAAGAAGGCAACCCGTATTTAACACAGCACACAGATCAACTTAGGAAAGGTTTCAAATTCTCACTGCAGTGCATCTTGAGCATTGAGAGCTTTTGTCTTGTTTATTGTTTTACATGTCTTGTTATTTAAGGGACTCTTCGTCCATCTCATCTTTCCTAACCTTCATTCAATTTGCATAAGCAAAACTCAAAGTACTGTAACTGATATTAGAAAATTCTCCCTGTGTTTTGTGAAGACGTATTGTGCTGAAATCAATAAGACTGTTTAAAATTCAAAGACCTGCAAATCGTTCTGTTTGTCCTTTGATAGGGCCTGTGCTGATTAAAATGCTACCAAGAAAGCTTAATTGCTGCACTAATTAAGAAGTCTTTAATTTCTTTCCTAGGATATCGTTTGAAGCTTAGCTTGTACAGTTCAGGGAAGGTATTTTCTTCCCTCCTTCTGCCCTCTCTGGCCCCTCCCCTTCCCTCCCCTCCCCCTCCTTCCCCCATTTGAGGAGACCGGTAAGAATGGGAACTAATAAAAAGAATGGTCTCATCATCTATTACTTAACAAAAATCGGCACAGGATACAGAGTTCAGCGTAGTATGAAATGCAGTTTTGAGAAGAGCTGTAAGCTTTGCAGGAGATAGTGAGAAAATATAAAGTAGCTGTGGCAGCTAAAGTCTCGGTGATTACCTGAATGACAACAGGCACTTTAGTGATGATGAGGGCATCCTATTTGGTTAAAAGGCTCAGTGGCGAACAGGGACACATAAAAACATACTTTCACAACCTGTGGTTTCAAAAGGGAAGAATAAATGTGTAAAAAAGATGGACTTGTAGTTGGGAATTGGTAAGTATCATTTTATTTGAGTATAAAAGGGTATATCTGTGGAGATTTATTTTTGACCCTCTTTTATAACTCAGGGAGGCACAGAACTGTATTACATCTATTCCGTTCTTTTCTATTGATATGTTGTCTTCAGGGATTTCTCAAGTGGGGAAACTGACTAAATGATTTCACAAAGCTTTCTCTGTAATCAATAGTCATTTTTTTAGCTTTATTCATGTTGCATTATAATTCTGGTAAATGACTGCAAAGAAGAGATTATAAGAAAGATACAAATATTGACAGATTTAGGATAAGTCATGTCTTCATTCTTCAGAGTTTCTTATGACAACTGGTACAGTGTTTTGTTTTTTAATTGAAAATCAATTATTTCTAACAAAATAAGAAAATATAGAGTAACTGAAAGGCAATGTATATCTGAATACATTCCTTTAATATCTCACAGTGTTTGGAAAGCTTTGCATTTCTTGCTTTTTCATGGTATTTCTAAATGAAAGAGAAGCAATGTAGGCATGTATGAAAAGGCATACACCAGGAGGGCTGCATGAAAGGTGCTTCATTATAATTTGATTCTTTCAATTTTTCGAAAGCTCCATTAGAAGCATGTATGTTAGAAATTACAAATGTATGCTATAGATCTATACTGGATTCCTTACAGAGGCAGGACAAGGAGAAAACCTGCTTAATAGATTCCAAGGCAGATTTACCATTCCAAGCACGACGTCACTCTAATTATGTTTACTCTAATTGAAAGCAAGGTTTTGTTTTTTTTTTTTTTTGAATCTGAAATTACTTTCAGATTTTTTTTTTAAATAATGCAAGTGGATCAAATGTTGATCACAAGCATTTCAATCTTTCAAAATGTATTGGAAAATTAAATGAAAAGTAGAGTTTGGTACAAACAATGCCCCAGGGCAAAAAACAACTAACACTAGATTTTCCAGTCCAGCCATAACACAAATCAATTGGAGCACACTTCTATGGCCAGACTGCCAGATTGTTATGACTGCTAATTCACTCAATCAAAGAGTGCATTAGCACACAGGGCAGAAACAGCTTTAACAATGGAGTGCCTTTCTCAACAATCCTAAGATGCACCACAATGGCTAAGCAAAGGAGACCATTTTTACATCTGTGTATTTACTAATGGAACTGTTTCCTTAATAGAAATAAAAAAAAAAAAGACCAAGATAAACTTCAGCCATGGGTTTATTAAAGAGCTATCAGAGTTTGGCAAATCTAGAAAGATACCAGGGTAACAGTAGTTCACTGACTTTGTTAAATGTTTCTCAGGAGAGAGTCCAAAATTGATGTTTGCATTTCAGTAGTAAATCATTGAAGATGGAGAAATTATGCCAAGTAACTCTCTCAAGCCTTTTTAACTCAGACACACAGCCTTGCCAATCAGCCCCTCAGAAAAACCTTCACTACCTGAAGCACAAACTTCCAAACTTTTACAGTTTCACTCTTTTCCCTCCCCATTTTCTCCACTCTGCCCGACTTCTGGTGGCTTTCATATCCCTAGTCTCCCTTTCTGTTCAAATTATCTGCCTCTGCTTAAGAACCAGGAATGGGATTCTTATCTTACTGTGACACTCTGTAATGAAAAGCACAGAATTTGGTGGGAAGCTGAATAGGAATATACCTACCTTGAAGCACTGTGACTTTACATACCAGTTTTGATACTTAATGATGAAATGGTTAAAACGATTATAAATAGCACTTGCTATTTTATTAACTACAGGGAAATGCAGACTTAGTCCACAAGCTTCTTGAATGGACATGGTAATCATCTGTTTGCATTAGTGTAGATCCAATTCCAAATAATTCATTAGGAGAACACCATTCCTCCCTTGCTCCTTTTAAGTAAAGCCCTTTCTGCTTGTTCAGAATAAAGGTCCCAAGTGATAGAAACTACTTTTCTGGCTATGCAGCAGGCAATAAGAAATGTCCAAACTCAGGTGCAGGAAGAGATGGCAGGGGCAAAAAGAAAAGCAAATGAACAAAAAAATCATCAGGCAATTTTTTTTTCAGCTTCTAAACTGCATCACTCCCAGGGTAAGTAGTCAATTCTTTGTGATGAATTAGTTATACTTTCCTGTAAGTACCCACTTCCAGGTAAGTGTCCTCCATTCCATCTGTGGGGTGGTATGAAAGGCTACCCAGCCAAATAACTCTTACAATAGCAAGCACAGTAAGATCATTGTACAGTTGAATGGCAGGAGGAAGCAGCAACAACAATAATATAAATTCAGCTTATTTTACTCCAACTCTTAAGTCAGGCCATCATCCTGGAAATAATGAAGACTGGACTACATGGAGTTCAGACAAACATATTTAAATCCCTCCTTTCACACTAGATATCGGGCCTTTAATTGTACCTTTTCATATATCTTTTCTAATTGTTGGACTTTTTTTCTCCTTAAATAAACAAGATCTGTATTATGGAATGTAAATTACTTAAAAGATAAGTAGGAATATTATGAAAAGAGAACATTTAATCTACTATAGTGCAAAGATAAACTTAATATTGAGGCATAAATTATAGTACAGTTTTATCATGATAGAAGAAAATTGCCTGACTGTGTAAGTTTCTTTTTTTTTTTTTTTCAGTTGTTTTACTTTATTTTCTTAGCCTTTTTCCCCCCTTTTGGTTGATTTATGAAATCAAAGAAGGGGTTGTCAACCAACAGATAGCCTATAAAATGGTTTTATTTCAAGACAGGACTTCCAAGGATTTCTAAAAAGAATATACTGTTTATTTATTTATTACTTTTCAGAACAAAGGGATGTTTTAAAAGTTGAAAGGACAACAATTGCTACCTCCTGGAAGGCTGATCTTGTATGTCAAGTTTCAGCCCAGAGCAAATTTTTACAACAAGTTATAAACCCCTGTAACAGAGGGTTTATTATAATGGAAGTGCTGACACAATCTTAACTATAGCGTTGTAAACGGCTATGCTATAATATCCATTAAGCAGAAAGAAAAATAAGCTGGCTGATCAATAATTTATACAAAGAGTACCAACTGCAGACATAATAACTGTAATGTTTGCAAAGCAATCTCTCTGCTCTCCAGGCTTAACAGTGAACTCAAACTAGCAACGCTGTTAATTTCCAACTCCTACAGATAAGAATACAAACAAATTACTTAAAATTATATTTTGCTCAACATTTAGCATGCCTCAATGGGATAAAATAAAATTTAATTATGATGCAACTTGTGCCGGATGCAAGGCTGCTTTGTTTTCCAGCACATTTTATTATGAGAAGATGTTCATTTGGAACATCAATTATGGGGAAATAGTATGTTTCAATGAGTTTACTTGGGTCAGTCAGGTTCATCTAAGAGTTATTCAGACATGGAAACTGATTGACAATGCTTAACTTCAAAGAAAGTTCGAGTTTACAGAGGCACAAGCTGAAACACAATACTGCATGCCCTGATCCAAGTTAACTGTCAGTAAAAACACACCTTGCCATTAGAGTTAATGGGGGAAAAAGTCATTGGTTTGGAAATGTGGTCATCATTAGTAGCCAGTGAATGTGGGAGTGCTTTTTCAATGGCATGCCTTGTTTTTTGTGGGAACATTGTGTGACAGTTCTACCTATTAGACCTGAACCACTGAATGTGAGCATTGTTTTCATTTCTATAAAATTAATTTGTCTATATTTTTGTTGACAGTATATATCTAGTAATTGCTTCTTATGGTATCTGAATATGGACATGTTATGTTGATGACTTCATTTTTAAGGGCAGCTCTTAAGACAGAAGTACCTTTGATAGGAATTTGAAACGTTAAATAGGATAATTCACAATTCCAAACTGTTCCAGACACACCACTGGAAGTAGGAACAGACTGAATGTTCCTGAGGCTCACATCCCTGTTAGTCTTTTTCCCTGTTCATTTCCTGGTGGTGGAATTGAAGGGTAGGGGGGATGTGGAGCCCAATAGAATGAAGAGACTTTGCTATCAAAGCTGTAAAATGGTGTATTACCCTGTGAGCAACTGCGCTTGGAAAGGAACCAGTAATTTATATGAGAAGTGTTTAAGATTGCCTGCTCACCCAGTGATCCATGCCAGGTCAGTTTCAGTAATGCTAGAAAACAAAAGGAGGTGCAGATCACTGGAAAAGAGACACCTTCCTTGCCTTAAGAGCTTGTGAAGGGAAGCACTAAAATGCCATTTTCTCAAATGAACTGATCATTACCATTTAAAATCCTGAGGGCTAGGAGACTGGGGAGGAGAGAAATAATTTTTCTTTTGATTTAACAGGGCTCTGAAATGCTGGCATTAAGGGGGAGGCATTTTGTTGTGATTGTATCATGGTCCTATGCTTCAGTAAAGATTAAATCTTGAAATAGAGGATATATTTTGAAACAATGAAATGGGGGGGAAAGGTGGGCACAATGGCTCTCTGAATTCATTTGACCATTTTAAACTTAGACATTAACTACCCTAAAAAGTTACCAGTACAAATAGTAATGAAACTTTCTAATAATGTCTTTGCTGGACTCTGAATTTTTCTCAGACCAAGTCCTCACCCCTCCAATTTTCACGAGGAATATGAGACAGGGTGTGAGGTAAGAATGGACATCTTCTGAGACCCTTTTGCTTCTAGTACAGGTCTGAGTATACCAGAGGCCCCCTCTTTGTCAAATGGGTACGTGTTTCCTCACATGCCTAAATTCATTCTAGTTTTTGGCTATATTTTATCCTTATGTCTAAAAATGTATATTTCTCATGTAATTCAGATCTGTCGTTTCCTGTCTGCTTCAAAATTCAGCATATCCTGGAATCTTTGCTGGCTTTACAGTTGGTTTTCTCCTACCATGAGTTCCAGGGATTGAACTCATATTGTTAGGCTTGCAGGCAAGTACCTCCACCAAGGGAGCTAGCCAACTAAGCCATCATTGTTGCTTCATATCTGCATTACGGTGATTTTCCCCTGGTATTTTGACAGGGAAAACTATTATTTTACATTTTTACACTTACTGATATGCTTCATTTCAGGGGGCCTTAGCCAAGTTTACTCATAGTAGGTATCTAGTATAATGCTAAGAGTTTGAGTATTGCCCAATAAATGTCACCTGGGTAATTAAAACAGCATTTTCCATGTATTGTCTTCCATCTCCTTAGCCACTAAATGACACAAACTGCTTGTTCTTTATATCATGCATGGTCTCATCCAGAATGGACACACCAGAAACAAATGCTTATCTAGCTCTCTTGTCCTCTACAAGTAATCTGGGAAAAAACTCTTGAAGTAAAATGTGAAGATACTTTGATACCCAAGCTGAGTATCAAAGATCTGAAAAACAGAATCTTAGGCCAGTAAGCAGGACTTCCTAGGATCCGTGCAGAAAGAACCATCTTTTCTATGTCATCAGAAAAGAGTCTTCACCAAGACTGAAAAGAGGAGTTCATCCTGCTGTCACCTGGGACCATGGGGTAGATGCTTGGGTGCAACTTTACCTCCCAGACGTGAGCACACAAAGGGTATATGCAAAGGTTTGTGAAGTGTTTACTTTGAAGTCACTCTCATTTTAATGTGCACAGCCATCTGCTCCACAAAGCACACTCAGCTTTGCATGCTGTGTGGTGCTTGCTGAGGATGCAAAGAATAAAAGGATTTCATCCTGACCGTCCTTTCCTATAGAGTATTTGCTGTGTCGTTGCTGTAACAGGATAGAGAGTTTGCGTGAGGATAGTATAGAACATTATTCAATCAGGACCGCAGACACTGAGCTGCTGTTCCCACAAGGACCATGCTATAGACCACATGTGGTTCAGAGATCTTGGCCGTCATGATTAGGAGCAATTTCTGAAATATTCTCAAAAGGGTTCTGTAGGCAGCCCTCTCAGTATGTGTGCATCAGGTCCATCTTCATATAGGACCTCTAATCATCGGAAAGAAGACATTGTCAAGTAGCAGTCTGGGAGAATATCCCCTTATTGTCACATCTAGCTGAGTTGTAAGCTAAGGACTGATTATGCAGTGAAGTAATCACTGACCATCACTCCACCCAAATATCTTCAAAAGAGACCTTTATTGAGGAAGCAGAGATAAAAAAGTTTTCAATTTTCATTTCAGTGTAAAGATAATAGAAAAGTAAAAGGCCACGTAGTCAGACCCACCTTACTATTTTTCTGTGTTTCAAGACTACATAGGTCCCCAGTGCCTGCTTAGAGGTTAAGCACTCATGAGATACAATCCAGCATCACTGGAATGGATGATCTCTCCTGCCCTAAAAGACAACTTTTGGAATCTTGAAAAACATTTAACAAAAGTTTCATGGGTGGCAAAATCCCTAGTGGTTCTTGAAAATGTTGTGTCTTTCCCAGCTTCCTTTGATTAGGATATAGCACAGTCCCCCACCAAACACACCCCCATAAAAGTTGCCTGTCGATATGCTCTGTGGCATTGGGCCTTAAAGGAGCAGTGCGTGGTGTGCACACTTAGCTTTTCTGTAGTCTTTCACTAGTCCTAATCTGCTTTTCCTTGGGGAGCTATCTAGACTCTTTCTCCAATTTTTCTTCCTGATTTAAAGGAAGATCACTTTCTTTCAGTAGATGATTTAGGGAACACTCACAGCTATTCCTAATAGAGCCGTAGCAAGCCCTCCTGCTGTCCCATTTAAATTGTCTGAACTGCTTGGCTTTTTCATTTACTCTCCCTTTAGAGGGAACCTGCAAAGTAAGGGAGACTTGAATGGCCCATGTCTTCAAAGAAGCCTTGAGCTCCGGAATGCTACATAGTTCACGAAGTCACAGAACACCAGGGAATGTCAGCAAGGAGGCAGAACTGCAGCACAGGAGACTTTCTAGGTATTCTCTCTTCAGCTGAGCAAGAGCATGGGTCACCTTCTCCAAGACCCAATTTGATTGACTTTGAAATCTGTCTGATTACAGCATTAGGACAAACTTCAACCTGTTGTAAACAATGAGTTCTTTGTTTTGTTTTCATATGAGTGCATTGATGGGCAAATTAGCCAAAGTCGGTATTAAAGAAGAAATCCACTTTCTTCTAGGAACAAACTGATTTTTGGTAACTAGGGTGTGTTTACACTAACTTGTTTGTAGTGTATGTCAAGTCAAGGCCAGAACAAACATACTCAAATACTCTAGTCCAGTAGTAGCAACTGGAAGTTTAATTGGTTCTGAGAGTAAAATATTAACTTAAAATATAGAATTAACAATACATGTCTAACAAACAAGCAGTATTTCACTTGAAAATATAAAGAGAAAAAATTAGATCTTTTTTTTTATATACCTTGCTACTCAACAATAACTATCCTTAATATTTTTATTTTATTATCCAAAATAGTTTCCTAAAAGCTTTCACTATTTGTTAGATTTCCTAAGAAGCCACCTAATCAGGAACTGATTAAGGCCAATATACTAAAAATTATTTGTACATATTGGACTTACGTGCATTATAATTAGCCGTCACACAGTGCAAACCATTCCAAAATCAACATCAAAGCACTGCTACACTTGAAGCCCTTTGGATGTATATAGTACTTACTTTGTGATGATACAATTTAAGGCAACATTTTCCATGGTATGGTACTCTTGTTTTCACAGCAAAATGATCTATTTTAACAGTATGATCTAAAATAAGATACTAAAATTTCACTTGATGATTCAGCTGTACACAAATGGCCTCAAGGAATTGTTTTATATTTGTACACAAGCTCATATGCCAATTTTTAGAATTCTTTAACATTTACTTAGAATTAGTCTATGATTACTGTGTTTTTGGTGGCTAAAAAACATATTTATTGTTCCTATCTAAGTAACTCTGTCCAAAAGCACTTACTAACCATAACAACACAACAAAGATTGGTTACGTCAACACTGTACTTTATCATTGGCCTTTGTTTTCCAATACAATGCTTTAAAAATATCCTCAGCTGTATAGAGGACATTGTTGCAAAAAGGCAGCTCAAAACTTGTCCTTCCCTTCTCTTTCATTGATCTGTTGCCTCTTAGGCAATATGAACAGCTGTCTCCAGCTCACCCACAAGCAAGCTGAACATAATAATAAGGTCATGTTAGTATCCTGTATCTAGCAATGATTGGACAGAGGATGCCAGCTCTTTTTCATTAAAGATAAGGTAACAAAGACACCAGAAACTGGTTCCTGAAAACAGGCGAAATTGCTGCCTTGAAGGTTCTTGTTCTGGTACCCACTGAGAGTCTCTTTCACATGGGTTTCCACTAAGGTGAAGGTGCCCTCTGTAGGAGACTCCCAGTAAATGCTGCTTTTTTGCATTTAGGTGACATCAGGCCCGTTTCCCCCTCCCTTCCAGCTTACAAATAAATGAATAATCATAGAATTCTGCAAGAGCACAAGTTTAAATTCTATAAATCTAAACATGAAACACTATAGAGTCTAAAATCAGCTATGCAAATCTCGTGAATTTTCAAAGTAAGCAACATTGAACACTGGGAAAGCTGCTCAGCACGTTAGGATTTGCTATTTACTGGATATAATTGTGGAATGCAATAAGGTGGGTTTTGTAAATCCAGAGGTGTTGTGAGAAACAGAAAGACAGGAGGTCCTGACATATCCCAGTGAACACTGTATCTACACAGAAGCAGCATCCACACACTGAAAGATACACACTGTCTAATAAATACACCTCCCCAAAAGGTCTCTTCTATTCTTACAAAGGTTACCATAATGCAGATTCATTATCAGTCCCACTGGGTAGTATAAAGCTTGGTAAGAAATTGCTTTTGTTAGCATGCTCATGGAAAAAGATTAGCTATTTCATCAGATCTCTTGGGGCGATTTGAAAATTTGGGGATTCTCTCTGTAATTTAAAATGGAAGTTAAAGCCAATCTGAATAGACCAGGGAAAAATCTCACAAATTAAACCTCTCCATCTGGAAGTTTCTTCATCACTCACTGTGAAAATACAAAACTTAAATGACATTTGTGCCAAGCTGGAGAGATTTCATCAGGGTTGATAAAATTGCATATATATCCAGGTTTAATAATTAGAGATTTTCTTTGCAAAGAAAAACTTAAAAGTACTGTAGACTGCTTAGTGGTGTTTCAGACTTGATTTTGGTCTGTATTGACTTTGCATGTTATATTCACCCCTGATATATTTATGTCCATTTTTATGACTATGACTTGGGCCACTATGGAATGTATACTAGTCTTGTCTGTATTGGAAGTCAGGGTATATTCAAGAAGGCACAGAGGCGAAAGAGAGGGGAAGAGCTGCCACTTTCTAGTATATAATTGAATTTGTTCGAACTATCAGCTCAAACATCCCTTTCTCTGTAAGTCTATATCTGCATGGTACCAGAACCAGGTTAGCATCAGCACTATTTACAGAGTGCCTACTATTTATGTTGAGCGCTTCCTCTAGATTATTTCACTTAATCCTCATGAGAAAGGTAATTATCCTTTTCCCCCTTTTTTATTCATTCGTGTGTGTGTGTGTGTGTGTGTGTGTGTGTGTTCTTCTGTGTGAACGGACCTGTATGTGGGGATGTACAAAGAGAATTGAACTCGATTTGGGAAGTCTTCCTCTGTCGATAGCCACTTTGTTCTCTGAGGGAGGATTTCTCAGTAGGCTCCAGAGCACTGATATGGCTAGACTGGCTAGTCAGCTTTCCCTGGAGATCTACTGTGTCTGACTTCCAAGCACTGAGAATATGGGGAATGCAGGCAGGTCACATTGCCCATCCAGTTCCAACATTTACTATGTGTATAAATGCTCCAGCTGCTGAGCCACCTTTCCCAACCTAGTTATCCAACACACACACACACACACACACACACACACACACACACACACACACACACACACAAAGAGAGAGAGAGACAGACAGACAGACAGAGACAGAGACAGAGAGACAGAGACAGAGAGAAGAAAGTGGTACTTGGGAGGTTAAAACCTTTGCTTATCTACACCAGGATCTCTCTTCCTGTCCACTGTGAAAGGCTCCCTTCTGATGTCACTTACTTTTCCACCTATCTGTATTTCACATAATCAAAGCAGTTGTGACCCCCGTCTTTCTACCAGAGCTGTCTGCCGAATCCCCAGCCAGTACTAACTCAGCAATCTGCTATCCAACTGGATGACTGAACATTGCTAAAGACTCTCCCACAGTGATGCCTATTGGTATCCTTAATTACTCATGACTGGGACTTTCAAGCTTTAAAATTTAAGCTAGTTTATCCAGAAAGGGGCCTGAATAAGCTCACATCATCATTTTAATGGAAGGTTAGGGCTCCAGTTAGTCTCCAGGGTGATTGAGACCAGAGATTCAGACACCCCATCAAATCAGCTCTGATCTCAGAAGACAACGCGTGTCAGGGTGTCTTCACTTTCTCTGTCTGGATTCTGCACAGCTAGATTTATGCTTCTAGCATCAGCCATGCTCAATTCTTTTAATTCCAGCACCAGAGATACACTGTGCTCTGCCTCCTTGATACTCAAGTTAGGAATCCAAGGGAAAGCACTCTCTGGGTTACCTTGAGACAAATGTTTATTTGTAGATGAAGAAATTAGACAAGAAGAATATCAAGTACTGAGTGCTGGGATTGAAGGCATGGGCCATCACTGCCCTCAGGTACTGAGAATGAATGTGTGGGATGAGATGTGACATGTATGGAGTTTAAAACCTGGTGTGCATATGACCTAAAAAAGAGTTACCTTTCTCTTTCTTGGTTTATTTACTACAAAAAGAGACTGTAGGTGTATGTAATTTGCTGCATTCTCCTGATGGCTAAATGAGCTACTATGTGGAACTGAGAATAATAGTTCCCTCCTATTGTTAATAATAACTATATTGGGGCTTTAGGATTGGTCCAGCTTGACTCAGAATCTCAAAGCTTCAATTCTATGGCTAACGGGGTAGAGTAATTTGAAGATCAGGCCTGAGGGATAGTCTTCACATCTAGATCTCAGGAATTATTCAGGAGGGAAATGCTTTTACGGATGAAAGAGCGAAGTATGCTACTAAGACAAATCACCGGATGTCTATTATACAGAAATCAAAAGTGCTGGAGTGCAGACCAAGAATGGAGTCTGGTGAGAATCCTGAGTGCCTGTGAGAAAAATCCAAAAAAACAAGACAAGAGTCTTGTGACCTCAGTTCCTTCAAATCACAGAACTATTCTCGGAATGTGTCCTCTCATGGGGATGTTGATGATCCTCTCAGGGGTAGCAGATAGGAGTGGGTTTACTTCAGCTGTTATTCATGCACCTCTACGGGGAAAAACATGTTCTGCAGTGTGTGACTTGTCCTTACGATTGTACACTTTATTCAGGTGATTGTTTTTAACCCCCAGAATATAAATTGTTTGATGCGCTAAATAAAGTTGGCTAATTGCATGAGACTTAGTCCTCCTCATTTTTAGGCCCCTCTCTCCCAGATTTACACCACAGACTAGAGAGGCAAACAAAAAGTATACGACCTCCAATGTAAGTAGAGGGTCACTAAACAGTATTTTTCCTTCACGTTATCAATGAGGTCCATGTCTTTCTTCCTTCACTGATGATTCTATCCTGTCTTATATTTTTCACCATGTGTTTGTGATGTGCATGTTTACAAGCATACGTGTGTGTGTGTGTGTGTGTGTGTGTTTGTGTGTGTGTGTGTGTGTGTGTGTGTGTGTGAGAGAGAGAGAGAGAGAGAGAGAGAGAGAGAGAGAGAGAGAGAGAGAGAGAGAGAGACTGCATACATGCACAAAATGTGGGTGGAGGATGGACACTGAGGTCAGGAATCTTCTATCGTTTTTCCATCATACTCATTGCGGCAGGTGCTCTCGGTTCAACCCAGAGCTACACCTACTCTAGCTAGCCAGCCTGTTCTGGGAATCACTTGTTTCTACCTTTGGAGCTCTGGAATTACAAGTGGGAGACTATCCCCACCCATATCCGGCTCTAGGGCCTGGCCCCATGCATGTGCAGCAAGCATTCTAACCACCACGCCGTCACCCACAGCTTTCTCAGAGATAACTCTAAAATTTCAAGAGTGAGGTCTACATCCTCAAATCTGCATTCTGTATCGACTCTCCCATCAGAAGAGGAACGTTAAGATCCTCAGGTCCCTGCCGTTTCCTGTGTGATTGTTTTCAGTCTCTCAGTTGACCCCTCCCCCTTTAACCACTGAACAATCACTCTGGCCCCTACTCAAATATAGTCTACCATTTTGTTAATAGCTTTTGTGATAATCCACATCTATGCTTTTTCCTTGTCTACTTATTCTATTATTACTTACCTAGGACTAATCTGCTATCTTATGAAATCTATTGAAATTATTGTCAAGAATTCTTATTCTTAGATTATTCATTTAAATTCTTGATTAGTTTTTGTTTTTTATCTTAGTTAGGGAATAGTGAAAAGGGGTAAATACACATATAACAAGCATTTGTTTCTTCATTTGATTCAATTTGGATAAATCTGAAGCATGTATAATTAAGAGGGACTTAAATGACCAAACATACTGCCTCAGCTATGCTTGTATAAAAATGCAACTCGGAACGTAATGACAGAATCTCTACTTCATTTAGTTCATTTTTTGTTTTGTCTTTTGTGATACTGAGGATTGAACCAAGGACCTTGCATATGTTAAGCAAACACTTGACCCCTGTATTTTGCGGGAGGAGAGGGGGGACCTAGAGTGACTCCGCTGATCTGGATCAGCTCATGTAGGTCCTGTATTCTAAAAGGCTTTGTTATTACCTGCTAACTAGGAAACTGAAATCACAATTGGGCTGAGTTTTCACTGGGTAGTTGTGCTGGTTGTGAATAATTTGGGACACATAAAACAGCAGATTAGTGGACATAAGCAAAATCTTCTTTAGGTGCTATGAACTTAATTCGTCTCTCCAAATTCACACATTGAAATTCAGGCCTCTGGTATGACTGTATTTAGACAAAGGGGTCTTAGTGCATAGTTAAGGTTAAACAAAGTTGAAAGGATGACGTCTTAAGGTCTCTCCTCCTCTCTTCCCCTCACCTCTCATTCCCTCTCCACTTACCTTACTTGCCTCTCCATGCCACCCATAAATTTTCTCTCTTGCTCTTCTCTCTTCTCTCTGCTTTTTTGTGTGTACACCAAGGAAAAACAACGTAAGAACAAAGAGAAGAAGGTCATCTATGAGGCAGAAGACGAGCTCTCACCAGAAATCTGATTATCAGACACCTTGGTCTTGGACTTTCCAGCTGTTGGAAGAGTGAGAAATAACTTTCGGTTGTGGAAAAGACCAGGTCTGTAGTACCATCTCACAGCAGCCTTAGCACATTAATGCACTAAGGCATACACCTAGGGGTGGTCATTTTGTGATACTAGGGTCTATATGTCAATTTTATGGGGTCAGAAGAAATTGATTTTCAAATTATTATCTGAACTTATATTGCAATAGTTGTCCCACATCCTTTCTAACATCTGATATTACAACATTTTAAAATATTTCCTAATTAAGTAGTTATGAACTAGGACCCAACCACTGTTTTAATTTATATTTTATTACTAAGTTTACTGAGAGTATTTCCATATGTATTTGCCCATTAGAATATCTTGCCTATGACAAATTTTAGCATTTGTGCTTTTCATTTTGTTATATGAATTTAAGTAACAACTCAGGTTTTATTATATTGTCCAATTCTCATCTCAAATTCACCATCATATTGCCTCAGCTCTCTAACTGCTAGGATTAAAGACATAGTCCACCATGTCTGGCAAAGTATAAATATTCCAAATGCTAATGTCTTGGCAGTTAAGAAATATATTCCCCCAGTCTGTGGCTTATGTTTCATATTTTTATGATACATTTTGATGAATAGAAGTTCTTAATTTTAATGTAGTCCATTCTTAGTTTTCTTAATATCTCTTTTGGAGTCTTAGAAAAGAAATGTCTCTGCCATAAAAACATATTATTTCCTAGGTTTAAAAAAATTGTTTCATGTACTCATTTAAGCTTTCTGCACATTAGGAATTGAAAGATTGGAACATTGAAAGACTGAATTGAAAATTGAAGCAGAAATGGAGAGCCAGGAGGAGGAATGAATCTAAATAGTAGAGACAAGAGATGTTAATAATTATACTACACAGATATCTCCCATAACAAAGAATTATTCAGATGGAAACATCACTAAAACTGAAACTAAGGCCTTTTTGGTAGTGTTTTCACAATACCAACTTAGTTGGCATCTTAAGTACATCTTGGCTTCTAAAAAGGAAAGTATAATCTAGAGTTGTGAGTGTGACTGGTTTCTGTGTTCTGTGTTCTTTTCGTTAACCTTGTTAGTTTTTGGGGTACAAAACTTTCGGAATTTGACAGACTTTGACTACGTGATTTATCATTATTGAGAAAGCTGTGCTTCAATCTTCTGGTATGTAGATTAGCGTAGCCCTCCCTATACTTCTGTCAGCTCTTGCTTTAAATAATTTGAGGTTATATTTTTAGGTGGCACAGAATTAGAATTCTTATGTCTTTCAGGTGAATTGAAGTGTTTATCATCTTTTAAAAACTATCATTTTTGCTAACACTAAGTATTAAAATGTTAAGTTTATTTTGTCTCATCTATTTTTAGAAACATGCTTCACATCCTGTTTTATTATGTATCTATTGATCTATTGTAAGCTTTACCCTATATTTCTTTTGTCTTATTAGTGTCCTGAATTTTAGGGTGTATCTTGTGAATAGCATGAGGTTCCATTTGTTTGGAATCCAGTTGGGTATTCTTCATGGCTTAAAAAAGTTATTTATTTCAACTACATATTTTTGTATTTCTATATATCATCTACTATTGTGATTTAATTGATACTTTATGTTTTATAGTTTAGTGTCTCTATAGTTTATATTACTTTACTTTGCCTATAATACTTACAACTTCTTTTAATCCCCTTAACATTGCAATGAAGACTAAAAGGTATTTACTACTTCTATGATCCTTTCTACATTCCCAAACAGCTAAACTGAAGGGACCTAGACTTAAATTTTTCCTCAATTAATGATTGATTTCTTCATGTAAATCATTATAATTGATTCCTTAATCATTATTTCACAATGATTAAGGCATCATTGGCTCACAGTTGCCCTCTTCAATCCGATTCTACTTTATACCTGTTATTTTGATGTCTACACCATTCATTAAGAGTTTCTTAAATTTTGGCAAAAGTTTGAGTTCAACATTGTGTTTTTTTGGTTCTTAGTTCTGGGATCAACAATATCTCCAAAGAGACTAGTTAATATGAAAGATTCTATACAACTGACAAGATGCAGACATGAACTATGAGCATTGTTCTATATGTTTTATGATTTTTGTCCTTGTAAGTAAACAGTAAATGTGTGTATATGTATATCCAATAAATATTTTTGTATATGACACACTTACAAACATATACCCACTATTATTCACTAATCTACTGAAATATTGTGAATCTATACATGTGAATTTATTTCTACTTTCAATAAAATAACAATTATGATCATTGTAAATAATTGATTTTCTTTCTGTTTCTTGAATAGTGAGAAAGCTAACTTCCAGCAATCTCAGTATATTTATTAACTGTCTAGCTCCTTGTGTGTGAGTAATATCCACATAAGCTGTAACGTCATTGCCCTCGACCTTGGTTCTGATACTGTCATTGCCTCCTCTGCCACTCAAGAGCCCAATGCCACCACCACCTCTGGACCACACTGCTTCTCTACCCTCTGATCTGCTGATCTTTGGAACTTTCTAAAGTGCACCCCAAACCTCTGTCTTAAAGGAAATTGAAGCAATGGAAAGGAAAAGAAAACGGCAGGATACTGAAACTCGTAAGTGAAGTTTTTCAGGATATTTAAATATTTAAACCAGGTTTTAAATCCCACTTCTATCACTGGTGTTCTCATTTGCTTAAGTATAAAAAAATATTATTTCTTACCACTTAACTGATATGTTTATTTTTACTTAGTTTTTGGTTTTCCTGAGTCAGAGATAAGGTCTTGCCATGCCTTCCTTAGCTGGCCTGGAACTCATTACGGCTTGCAGAGGTACACTTGCTTCTGCCTCTCTAGTTCTTAGATTAAAGGCCTGCACCAGCATGCCTGACTGCTAGTGAATATACTTATTTATTTAAACACACATACACTCATTTATTTGGAACTATATAAGAGAGGAGAAAGTAAGCTGAACTCTACCATACATGTAATAATTCTTTCCTCTCTGCTTTTTGTGTTCTCATTTGAAAATAATTTTTTATGATACAGTTTGATCTCACTTTCCCCTTCCTCAACACTTCCAAGATCCTCTCAACCCACCCAACTCCATGTTCAACTCCTTTCTCTCTCTGTTTAGAAAACACACAGGCAAACAAGCAGATCAAACAAACAAACAAAAAGACCCACATGCATACACACAAGCAACCACAAATAATAGGAACAACAACAAAACACAAAAAACCCACAAAACAATAACAACAACAAAATCCCCACAAAGTATAAAACAGGAAACCATGATATACAGGCAGAAGTCCAATAAGACAAGACAGGCCCAAATAAAGCAATATGATACAAAATGCCTACAAAACCACTTTTAGACTCATTCTGTGTTAGTCATCAACTACTGGGCATTGGGCTTACCATGAAGTGGGGTTAATACACCCAGTGAGATTCGACTGGAGAAAACTAATTTTTCCTTTGCAATAGAAGTCAGTTGCAATTAGCTTCTTTGTTAGGGGTGGGACTTTGTGTCCACTTCTGCCTTTTCAGTCCTAGGACACCATCTGGCCTAAAACTATAAAGATTCTGTGCTGCCTGCCACAATCTTTGTGAGTTCATTTGTGCCTCAGTTTTGTTGTGTCTGAAAGACATTGTTTCTTGGTGTCCTCCATGCCCTCTGGCTCTTAAAATCTTTTGGCCCTTCTGTATAGTTGCCTGAGCCCAGAGAGAGGGGATATGATGAAGACATCCTATTTAGGACTGAGTGTTCCAAGGTATCTCGTTCACTGCACATTGTTCTTCATTTCATATGGATATACTTAATTTAATTTAATTAGCTTATTTGTTTGGATTTTTCGAGACAGGGTTTCTCTGTGTAATTTTGGTGCATGTCCTGGATCTCGCTCTGTAGACTAGGCTGGCCCCAAACTCACAGAGATCCGCCTGGCTCTGAATCCCAAGTGCTGGGATTAAAAGCATGCACCACCACCGTGTGGTGTATACTTCATTGTGTGTGTGTGTGTGTGTGTGTGTGTGTGTGTGTGTGTAAGCATTTGTTAAGTATCTGTGTCTGTACTCCATGTGCATGAGTGGTGTCCACAGAGGTCAGAAGAGGGCACTGGATCCCTTGAGACTGGGCTTGCAAGTGGTTGTGAGCCTCCATGTAGGTGCTGGAAATCAAATCCTGGTCGTCTGCAAGGGCAACCAGCCCTAACTGCTGAGCTTCAGGCCCCCTGTCTCTGATTTTTAAGTCTGGATGCAATGTAAGCTGCCATCTCAAGCTCCACTGTGACCTCCTTGCAATGATGGAGCTGAAATTATGAGTACAATAAAACCCTCCTTGGGAAATTTTACCACACTAACAGAAGCAGGACTGGGACGGAATTTTGTTGAGATGTCATTCGAATGTAGCTCAAGCTGGCCTTGGACTTCCTATCCAGCTGAGGTATGATTTGGTCTCCTGATCCCTTTACCCTAACCTCCAGGGTTGTTGGAATTGCAAGTGTATACTGTTACAATCAGCATGCTCCTCATGTTTGAATTATAAAATTAAGCAAAAAGAATTAGAAGAAGGAGCAGAAGTTTCTTAAGATTATCTACGTCAAATAAACCAAAATATATTCTGCATGCTGATTTTCCTTATGCTACTTTACAAGAAAAAAAAGTGGTTCCTGGCTAGAACTAGAGACAACATCATTAGTGAAATATATGTAATCTCTCTTTACGCGTAGAATATCTACCTCTTCAGGTATTTTGCTTTTCTTATCATGTGACAGTAAGAAAATAGATGAGAACCTCTTTCCTCTACCATTTTATATATAAATATAATCACTATCTAAAGAGATTTCTAAATTAAACAATTAAAATTCTGTGGGCCCCAAAATGTCGGAGAGTAAGTAAAATGACTTGCCATGAAAATTTGAGGACTTGAGTTCAAAGCCTGGAACTCTAGAAAGAAGGAGAAAACTGACTTCTGAAAGTTGTCCTCTGACATCCACACACATGTTGTGTTACTCAAGCACTTACACACCTACCCTCCCCCACATACACACCACATCCCCCATCCCTCCATTCCCCCCCACCCTCCACTGAACATTCATTGATACAGAAAGTAGAGTAGAGGTTATAAAGGATATAGGGAGGAGACTGTGAAGAGTTATTTTCTAAAAGACACAGTAATTCCAAAAAGGATGAAAAATTCCCAAGGATAGATAGTACAAATGCTTACAAATGTGTGATTGTACCTGAGGCTTCTGAATCATACACTGAAATTTGGTTAAATGGTAAACTTTATGATATATGTATTTTACCACAATAAAAGATATGTTTGAAAAGACTACTATCACATTTAAACATTTAAATATGCACACACACACACACACATACACACACACACACACACACACACACACACACACACACACACAGGAACATCTCGGAAATTATGGAGGACCACCAGAAGGAGAGGAATGTGACAGCAAGGCCAGGAGATAGGGTATGGATATGTGTAAAGAAGAATGCACATGTATGAAGAAACTCGTTATTTGGTTTACTTGCTAAAAAAAGTTTATGAAAACTGATAACAATGAAAAATACCCTAGGATAACACAAAATATGCTTCACAAAATTTAAGTGATACCATTTTTTTCTTTCATTTTTCTTTATTAAGAAATTTTCTACTCACTCCACATACTATCCACAGATTCCCCCTCCTCCCTCCTTCCACCCCCAGCCCTCTTTCCCAAGCCACCTGGCATCCCCACATCCCCCAAATTGAGATCTCCCATGGGGAGTCAGCAGAGCCTGGCACACTGAGCCTAGGCAGGTCCAAGCCCCTTCCTACTGCACCAAGGTTGTGCAAGGTGTCACACCACAGGCACCAGGCTCCAGAAGCCTGCCCATAGACCAGGGACAGATCCCTATCCCCCAGCCTGGATGTCCCCCAAACAGTTCGAGGCAAACAACCGTCTTCTGTGTCCAGAGGGCCTAGTCCAGTCCCATGGGGGCTCCACAGCCACCAGACCACAGTTCATGGGCTTCCACTAGTGTGGCCAGTCATCTCTGCATGTCTTCCCATCATGATCTTGACGTCCCTCACCTGCAGTATCTCTCCTCTTTCTCATCAGTTGGATTCCCAGAGCTCAGCCTGGTGCCTGGCCATGGATCTCTGTAACTACCTCCATCAGTCACTGGACAAAGGCTCTATGATAACAGCTAGGTTATTTGCTAGGCTGGTCACTAGAGTAGACCGGTCCAGGCACCCTCTGGACCACTGCCAGCAGACCAAGGTGGGGTCAACCTTGTGGATTCCTGACAGCTTCCCCAGCACCCTGTCTCTTCCTATTCCCATGATGTCCTCATCTGTTGTGTGATACCATTTTTAAGTTATTGGCTTGTATGTAGAAAATAATATAAACCCAGACAATTTTATCTTTTCAAAACATTTATGTGACCTCTCCTTCAGTGTTCACAAAAGTAAAGATCTCTGCTTTCTCATTCAAATTCTTTAATGCCCTGTAAGCTAAGGATGTTTAAGTGAGCAAGTATAAAAAAAATGTGCATTATGTACAGATGTAATGCAAGGAACCTTGTTTGCAGAGATTACCGCATGTATTCTCCTAATGCAGTAAGCACTGTCCTCACTTCCACTTACTTGTTTAAATAAACTATTGACATCATTTCTCTTACTTACAAAAGGCATCTCTTTGATGATAAGTGATACCAGTATTTTTTATATTTAGACTACACTTTTCAGCTTTTTGCCAGCAAGTGATTATTTCCTCCAAGCTCGTGTTTGTTATTTAACTAGAACTAAAAATAATTCCTTTCATTTCTGAAACTTTCTCTGTATTGCATTATTTTTTAACATTTTACAAATAAGACTCAACTGGATTAGAGAAACTAGCTTTGTATTTCCAATCACTCAATAGCCCCAAGTAAAAGTAAAATCACATACTGATTTATAAATGGTTTTTATACAAAACCTATATTAATTTTTCTTCCTTTGGTATGCACTATTTTAAAATATGGATTTGTAGGAAAAGAACATTTGATAAATGGAGCAGTAAATAAATCTAAATCAGACTGGTCCCTTCTATCACTGACAAGATCTTTAATTTGAATTACATTATTTTAGTGCCAGCTTATAGTTCTTTATGCTTTTTCTTACTTCTGTATTTTAAATGAAACGAGTTAACATGAATTTGCAGTTTCTGCCTGGCTTTGATTTGTTTGGTTTACTTGTTTATTTATTGCTTTGTTTCTAATGCCAGTAAGTGTGTCCTCTGAAACTCTCTCCTCTATTTCCAATAACCTCTAGACTCCCACAGGCTGCTCTGTTAAACCTGACTTATCTTCTCAGCTATCCCCTGGAGGTCTTAGGGAAAGACTAGATTCACCAAGCTGCATTACCGAGAAGCAATGAAAATACACATACAAGTTATTTTACCCAGACTAAGCAGCTTGTGTATATGTGTTTAGAAATATTTGTTTTGCACCCTAATAGTTGTGCCAGAAACCCCATCCAAGGACTGAGGAATCTGGATGCACACATCCACGTCTAGGCCCCGGGTGGAGCGCCAGGAGTCTAATTAGCGAGAAAGAGGAGGGTTTATATGAGCGAGAATTGTTGAAACCAAGGTTGGATAAAGCACAGGGACAAATAGCCAAACGAATGGAAACACATGAACTATGAACCAAAGGCTGAGGGGCCCCCAACTGGATCAGGCCCTCTGAATAGGTGACACAGTTGATTGGCTTGATCTGTTTGGGAGGCATCTAGGCAGTAGTACCAGGTCCTGGGCTCATTGCATGAGTTAGCTGTTTGAAACCTGGGACTTATACAGGGACGCTTGGCTCAATCTGGGAGGAGGGGACTGGTCCTGCCTGGACTGAGTCTATCAGGTCGATCTCAGTCCTCGGGGAGGCCTTGCTTCGGAGGAGGTGGGAATGGGGGAGTGGGTTGGGGGGAAGGGAAGCGGGGCAGGAAGGGGGAGAACAAGGGAATCTGTGGCTGTTATATAGAATTGAATAGTACTGTAAAATAAAAAAAAATAATAAAAAAAGAAATATTTGTTTTGTTTTTGCTTTTGCTTTTGTTCACTTGATTGCATACTTTGATTTGTTTCCTTATGTGGGGGCATGTGGCAGGGATGAGAGGAGGATATGGGGGGACTGGGAGATGAACAGAATTGGGGTGCATGATGTGAAACTACCAAAGAGTCAAAAAAGAAGTTAAAAAAGTAAATAACATTAAAAAAAGAAATATATACATATATGGATGTAAAAGCAATGAGTGAGAAAATAAGCCATGGATTTGAAACCGAGCAGAGAAGGGCAAATGGGAAGGTTTGCATCAAGAAAAAGGAAGGGGGAAATGAAGTCATTGTATTGTGATTTCAAAACATAAAAGAAGTTTTAAAAACTAAATGAAAATCAAACATGAAAGTTATCATTTCAGTCCACGTGATAGGCAACCCATAATTACCATCCCGAAGAGTGTATGCAGAGTAAAAGAATGTCATATATTTAATATCTCAGTAATCATAACTATTAAAACCATCCTAATAACACTTTGGACTGGCCAAACACCTTTAATCCAAGCATCTTAAAGTCCTTTTTGATCATTAATTAATTACCTCACACTCCCACCAGATAGATAAATAGCATATCATCGCTGTTTCTCAAGTAAGGAATCAAACACAGACCGTGACGACCTCTCCGGGCTGCTGTGTCCCACTGTCACAGATCCAAAGGCACATCTTACTGAGAAAAATTCCACTCTAGGCATCGCTCATCGGTTAGGTTGCTTTCGTTCTGAGCATCCAAGTTCCCAGAT